TTGTACAGCGCATTGAGCACTTCTTTGTGGTGAGAGTGTGACTCTGTGTCATGTGTCAATGAGAGTGTGACTGTGTGTCATGTGTCATGTGTCTGTGAGAGTATGACTGTGTGTCATGTGTCTATGAGAGTGTGACTGTGTGTCAGTGTCAGTGAGAGTGTGACTGTGTGTCGGTGTCAGTGAGAGTGTGACTGTGTGCCATGTGTCAGTGGGAGTGTGACTCTGTGCCATGCGTCAGATGAGTGTGTGAAACTGCATGTGACATGTCAGTAAGTGTGCGGCACTGTTTTTCGCAGCTGGTTGGAGGTGCCACTAACACAGATCATGTACTTCTCTCCTGTCATCGATTACTTTTAGCCATCTAAGTAGCCTTTTCCCCAGGATGATTAATTAAATGGTCGTTGTTCTCTTAACCATTATGTGCTTCTCTTTTCTACAGCTTAAACTTAGAGTGGTTGGAAGGTGCTTTGGTGTGGTTTCTTTGTGTGTGTGGGGGGGGGGTTTTATCATTGTTATCTCACATGGGGTTATGTGTATTACTATCTTTGTCCAAATGATTAAATCGATTAGACCGACGTTTTCCGACCTTTTTGGCTCTTTTTTAATTTGTAAATTTTGTGTGGGGGGGGGGGGTCATCACGTATATCATATTGTCATTATCTCTCCCTTTTCTTTTCTTTGTATGTTTTATATATTTGTCTTGAAAGTCCAGTAAAACCCTTACTAAACCCAATCTACCTTGCTTTTTTCTGGCACTAAATGACCTCTATTCTCTCAGTGTACTTCACTTTACTGGCACAAAATTGTAAAACCACAAGTACAATGTGGGTGGTTGGTGGGAGCTCTGGTGTGGTTTGTTTCTTCTTTCCAATCAAACATCTATCGTCCTAATCTCCCCTTCTTCCTTTTATCTTTGTTACTCTCTTGTAACACCTCTAATCTTCTGGTGCTCTTATGACCTTAGTGGTTGCGAGCGCCGTAAAAAAACAACTAAAACTACAACATAATGTGTGTGTGTTCCCCAGGGCTGCTACGAGACGGTGTACAGCTACATCGCCGATAACTACGGCTCCCTCATCATTGGCCTCAGCTGCTTTGTCATTATCTGGGAGGTAAGTCCATCATCATTATCTGTCCCAGCGGTTTTAAGGGAAAAAATTCATAAATTATGCAAATTGAGCTCAAAATTGAGAAATTATGCGATTCTGTTAATTTTGACAAAGAATGATAAGGAAAATAATCAATAATTATGCAAACAAATGATCAAATTTAGCTAAGTTACGCGGGGTGCATAAAACCCCGAGGACAGCATTATGCGTGGGTGGTTGGAGGGTGCTCTGGTGTGGTTTGCTCCTTTTTACCTATCAAACTTCTATCGTCCTTATCCGTGCTCCATGAGTCTATCTGTTCTTTGTATGTGACCTCCCCTCCCCTCCCCTCTCTTATCTTTGGACCCGGTACTTATGTGATCTAAGTGTGTTGCAAGTGCCTTAAAACTCTTACTTAGACTAAGACAAAATAAAACTCATCACGATCATCAGTGGGTGGTTGAGTGTGGTTTGCTCATTCTTATTAAAAAAGGACTGTAAAAAATTCGTGGCTCAACTTATTGTCAAACATCTCCTAAACTGTCAAACACAGACTCTCCAACTTTTGCACAATAACGTATATCAATTTGTCTTAACTGGTGAATATTTTTTAAACACCTGAGCGCTGTATTCTAGAAAATTCCTACATAAGTACCGAAAAAACCCTAGTCGATGGTTTCAACAGATTTTGAAAGGTTTACATTCTAAGAGCTGGGTCGGTAGCGATTTTGAAAACAATACATAATAATATGCGAAATGTGTATGAAAAGCGGGAAGTGCTGTGAACACGCCCATTGTCCAGGCCGGGGGGTGTTGTACTTTAGGTATAATAATATATTTATGAAGAAAAGTGTGTTTTTTTTAATTGTGGAAAATGTTGTGGAAAAAATATGATCAAACTGAGACAAATTGATACAAACTGCTGTGCAAAGTATAAGTGGCAGTGATTCACCCGTTAAAGAGATATTTGAGGATAAGCTGAGCCACGACTTTTTTACCGCACTATACACGTCAACACATCTATCGTCTTAAGTGGACTTTCAAATAATATAATCTTACGCCTGAAAAGAAGGGGGGGGGGGGGGGGTTCTTTGGCTCCTGTAAGAAAAATGTACCAAGGGGGGGGGGGGGGGGAGAGTCTTTATTGAACCAATGTAATTTTACTTTTGCGAAATGAAAAAATAACAAGGGAAAATTTATGACAATATGACAACATCTTTTTTTAAAATAATACATAAAACGTTGACTGTTCATTTCGAGCGGTAGGGTAAGCACGGCAAATGTCATGGCGATACAGCAGGTCCTCCAGGAGAAAGAGCAGGAACAGGACCCAGATTTGGAAGACAGCTCAGCAGATGCCCCTGTTTTTAAATATATTTTTTATATAAAATTATGAACACGGCCTTTGTTGATGATAACTAGATCTAATTTCACTTTTTGTTTTAAGCATAATGATTATTAATAACAGATACAGTGGAATCCTGATAAAGTCAACTCTCGCTAGCAGTCAACACCTCACTGTGGTCCGTTTTTTACAATCTTTATTTAAGTAAATGTGCTTCTGATACAGGCAACTACTTGAGTATTAACCTTGAGTAAAGTGAGCAATTTGGGACTAATCCTAAGATGAATTCATTTAAGAAGAGATATTTAGGGTCTGAGCTAGTGGTGTACTCACCTCCAACGCCAATTGCTTTGTTCACTCATTATCTCTTGTTTTGGTGACAATTTCAGAATTATAGGCCTACTTACTGAAATTGAGCTAACATCTTGTTACCAGGTACCGGTACTTTGTAATTTTGTAGCTGTCATCTTCAATTTTCAATGACCAGCAGTACAATAGATAACGTCAACCCTTTTTTCCCGGACCCGAGGTGTTGACTTTATCAGAATTGTACTGTAATTTGTGTTATTTGTGATTTTGACATTGACTGTTTTTTCTCCATTAGTAAGAAAGAGTGTAGTAGTATTCAATATGTTTCTTGAATGATTTACTCTGTTATTTTTGGTGAATGTGGAACTGTATATATATATTATTATGCGCATGTATGTGTGTATACATGTACATGTTTTTAATGAATATTATGTAAAGCGCATAGAACAATGGTTGTAACACGGTTTTGCTCGATATAAATTTAATATTATTATTATTATTAGCGAACAATTTAATATTATGGGATCACAAATGTAAGAAAAGTGTAAGAAAGAGAGGGAGAGGGGGCAAAATGTCCAAAAAAATGTGTAAGATTATATTTATCCTTATCTCTCCTCCTCATTTATGTTTGTTGCTGTCTTGTAGCACCTCTTATCTACGACACTTTATGACTTTTTTATATGACCTAATTGTGTTGCAAGTGCCGTAAAACACATAGATCTACAATTTTACTAAAACATAAGGCAAAAATCTCATCCGCATTGTGAGTACGAGTAATGGCCGGTGTGTGTGGTGTAAAAGCTTAGGCACTTCCTGTCACATGCAAAAAACCTTGGGGTGGGGTGGTTGGCTGGTGCTCAGGTGTGGTTTGCTCTTTCTTTCCATCTACCGTCCATATCTCTCCTTCTTCTTTTTTATGTTTGTTACTCTCTTGTAACACCTGTAATCTTCTGGCGCTCATATGACCTTATGCAGTTGCGAGCACCGTAAACCCTTACTAAAACTAAAACTAAAGCAAAATAACTTGCGTTCGAGCTCCCCCCCCCCTTCCTGTTGCACGTGTGTGTGTACCAAGTATATACAGCCACCTGACTGGACACCGTATACCTCTCAGCCTGGTTTGGCCCCACTAGGCTGGGTCGAAGCAGTTCACCTGATAAATCATGTAGATTGTGCCAGTTCCGGCCTAGTTCTGTCCCCGTGGTTTTATGCACACAAAAAATCTGAAATTATGCAAACCGAGCCCAAAAATTTGAAATTGTGCGATTCTGTTCATTTAAACACAGAATGATAAAGGAAAATAGTCAGAAATTATGCAAAAAAGATCAAATTTTGCTAAAATTTTTACCCAAAAAAACCTTAGGAAAAAAAGGAAGAAAAAAAAAAAACACTTATTTTTCTTACTTACGAATTACGAACAAGACAGCAGGAAGCTTAAATTAAAGCGTTCTGTTTTCCTTCGAGCGCCTTGAACTTGTGCGTTTTTCTTTGACCCTCCAAGAGTCAGAGGTAACGTTCAGCAGAGTCAGCGTATTTTTGTGTCTTCACAAGGCTAGTTACTTTGTACTAGTAGTGTAGGTGTGACACACCCGGGCGGGCTCGGAAGAGTTCCCGCCTTCCAGGGCGTGGCTTGGGGGTTAAGCGTCGAGAGGAAAGGGAAACTATTGTAAAAGGTATAAACCTCAAATTTAACCTTGCATTCTTCTCCCTGAGAAAAGAACTATTATAAATGTATGTAACAACCATAAACGTC